CAATCAACACAAGTCCCAGATTGAGCCCCACATTAGAATCTGTGTGAAGGGCAGCTTTGTTTTCCTTGGGTTCTCAGAACTTCTTGTGTTTGAACTGCAGACATGCCCTTTGGAAAACAGAGAAATTTATTTATAACTGCCTAGATTTGCAAGCTTGCTTTATTACATTATTTCCTGCCCAGGGTTTCTTAATACTGAATAGAAATTATTATGAAAACTTCTTACTTCAGGGCATTTCCAGGCTAGAAGGGCTGGAACAGAACTTGTCATTGCTGGTCCAGTTTTATTTCTGGAAAAATTGCTAAACTGAGCCAAAGTTCAAGTCCACGAGGGGAATGCATGCATGCATAACACTCATGCGTGCGCTCAGTGAGCAAGTTCCAATCCTGCTGTGGGACCTTCAGCCTGATGCCTTTAAACTATGCACAAGCAATTGATCTTTTGACCTGATGACCATCTTTTTTCTTGCAGTGCCCTGTAAAACTTATTTTGCTAATGTGTATCTTTTGTTCTGGTTGTTTCACCAATCGAAGGCTGTCAGTGGAGTAAAAGGCCAGGGGGGAGAGGGGGGAAAGAGAATCAAACTCAGCATGAAGTACGGGACTTCAGCCTAAAATGTAATATGGAATCTTTACCTCTGAGCAAACTGTGGTATCTTATGCCAGAAAACAATACAGGCTCAGCCAACTAGGGATTAGGTGTTATTATTCTAGCTTTTTGTTGCTAGACTTTTCAAGCTAAACCCATAAGGAGAATAAAAAATCAGCTCACTTTAGGGGTGGTAATGAAGAGCTGGGCAGGGAATTGGTACTCACCTGTGATTTCCTCCCTCTGATACTACATGGCTGACATTTTCCATATACTGAGAGACCTCCAGAGCTCTGCATAGTCTGCCTTTATTGCTTTAAGGGCATTTAACCACAACAGCAATGAGCTTCATAGAAGCACCTTCAAAAATGTACAAGTAATTCATCCAAAGCTTATCATATTTATAAGTACATGTTCTTGATTTTAATGTAGTTTGGATTTGGTTGTCAGGGAACTTAACAGAGCTGCTTCTGATATTTTGTGTGGTAACAATCTCCAGTTCAAGCCCCTGACCACACTTCAGCAATTTGAAACTCAGAAGATTTCAGTGTGGAAAGTCTGTGCTTCATTACCCTACTTCAAGGGGAGGAAGCTTAAAATGTAATAGAAATGAGTATGAAAACTGCTTACTTCAGAACATTTCCAGGCATAATTTGTTGCAGTAATCCATTTTCATTCCTGGTGGGGGCTTCCTTCCCAGACCTCTATGGATGAAAAAAGACTTCATCTACCTAAACTCCCCAAGGTATATTAAGATCAGGACTAGAATGCATTGGAAAAGGAAGTTTCTATCCCACAGAAACTTAAGGATTTAAACATTGGGTCCAGTTTCAAACCAAGACAAAGGGCTGACGTTTCAAACCTTTTCAGAGGGTGAAATATTCCCCAGACCTCCGATTCAAATATGTCAGTATTTTGTTTCAAACTGTGTCCACCAAACCATTACTCTGAGCTGTATATTAGAGGTGCAATATCCTTGTTCTCTCCTTTGCCTAGCAAGCTGATCAAACAGTACCTTCCATAGTGCTTATTTTTGTGACAAGGTCTTCAGCCACCTCTAGTTGGATGAGTTGGATGAGTATGCCCATAGGCAGCCCAAGTGAATCTACTTTTCCTGTTAGCTGGCCTTTCCTGTTGTTGCATCTTCGGCATCTCTGATAACAGCCATTTTAAAACTTCCCCTCTGTCTTTTGTTCATGTTATGGGTGGATGCTGAAACAAACCATTTTGCCTTCCTGTTCCTTGCTAATTCTCTGCAGACTTCTGGGGAAATAGTGACATATTTTCACCCATTCCATAATCTTTCTCAGTGAGTTCTCTGCAGCCTTGATGGAGAGTGAAAATAATTTTATGGAAATTACATATTCTCATCTCCACTCAGTCAAACCTATGTTTCTTGTGCTCAGAGAGACAAAACTTATTATTCTTATGAACTGTGTCTTTTTTTGAGGAGCAGTTTAATATTTCCCTTTTGGATCTTTTGCTTTCGTAAGAGTCTAGCCTATATAATGTGTTTGTGTAAGAGGTACTAAAAAGTGATACAACAGATATGGAGCAGTGTTTTTCATTTTAAAGCATCAGTGACTCTATTGCAACTACTAGCAACCTTTTTACTGCATGTAATTATGTTCAAAAGATGGAAGATAGATCTCCCTAGATAGTGATGGGAGAATAAAGAAAAGAAAAAAGCAGTGGACTTGGGAACATTTTTTATTTCAGACATTAATTAATCACTCATAAGAGTTTTTAGTGAAAATTTTATACATATTCTCAGAGCTCTGTGTATCTATTGAGACAGATAATCTAACAGAGTAAACAAAAAGCTCTGCTGAAACCTTGGGAGAGACAGGAAATTAATTTAAAGTCATCAAGAATTTTAATAACATTAAATTATCTGAGACACTACCAATTACAGAAAAGTTAATATACATTTTGTACATACCACAGAAGTGTTGATATTCACAGAAGTCTCTATAGTTCCGCTTTGCTCATACTTCCATCTGAATGCATCATTTCAGCAGAAGAAATATTTTTATGCTATACACTGGTAATGGCAGTCCAATGCAAAAAAAGAAACAAACTTCAGTACAACTTCTTTTCACACCTGAGATTTTTCTGGTGGTTTCCTTTACAAGTTGTGACCTAGCTCCAAATTGCTCAATTTATAAATTAACTTTAATCAGGGTACAGCTCATGGCAACATGTGAGATTCATGAAGTTAAAAATGCTTTAAAGTAGTTAATACTGTCTTTTAAAATTGGTCACCTCATACCTGAATTTAAGATTCAGCTCATTTCACATCCAAGCAGTTCATACATTCTTTTCAGAATAGGCAAAGGGATAAAGATTTGTGTACTACTCTAAATTGAAGGTTTTTAACTATTGAGTACAAAATATATTATGAGCAGATATTGAAAGGAAATTCTAACCTTTCTTCTTTTTTCTGGGTTCCCCAGCAGGACCCTTCTCACTGTGGGCATTAGCGATCTCTAATGCATTATAAGGAAATTAACCTGATTTGTACGCATTGTGTCATATAGTTTTCAGATCATGCAAGTTATTCTTTTTACCATCTTGTCTACACAGAGGTATTTTTGGAAATTAAAGCATAACAGCCTGCATTCAGGTCCTATAGGGATATTCTTATTCAGAAAAAAAAATAGACTTAAATCTTACATGATATCATGGATACAATTTATATATCTGTATTTGGAAGTTCTGTATGGAGTAGTCACATACGCTTAACTTTGCTTCAGCTTTCTAACCATTATTTTTCATGGTGTTTCTAATGTGTTAAAATATCTCTTGAAGTCTTGGTATAACTAGGTTTTCAAGGAAATGTATCATTTACGTGTGGCTTTTACTCCATTGGACCTCAAATAATTCCCTTGGAGACATCATAATATAATGCAGAAGCATAAAAGGCTTGACCCAGTTCTGATCTGGAATATCAGTTGAAGAAATCTGATGTCAGCTTTCAGCAAGCCTGAATCTAAATCTGTAATGATTTAAATTAAATTAGTTATACTCTCAATGTGACAGATACGAGCAAGGAAACAGCTATTGTGCCACTGGTAAAGTGATGATGTTAGAAATGGAAGTTGAATTGCTAAAAGTAAATACTGGTTATTAATCAAAGTCTGCGTTTTCATAGGCTAATGAAGAGATAGTGTTAAAATTAAAAGTACTTCTCACTCTCGCAGGGATCTGGAATTCTGTGCACTCAGATTTGCATAAATAAGAAGTATTAGTCTGAATGTTTAAGGGAGCAAGTTACACATACAGCTTTTTGAATCTTGCTGATAAGTGCTCTTATAATTTCGTATTACAGTTTTCAAGGACCCAGCTGTCTGATTTAACTGAAACTCAGTGATGCAGGGAAATTCAAAGCTGAAATGAGAACTTTATGTAAAATTCCCTGTGTTTATATATACTCTCTGTTTGGCTAAGAGCCTTAGCACAAACTCATAAGAAGTAGAAGTTATATACAAATATTTTTTCATTGCTTACTCTACATGCCAGAATGCTAGAAGGCCTTTCATTTTCTAGTACTTGAAAAGATAGTTATAACACTCTGTAAGGACTTCCCTAATTTCTAGGATTTCAATTATTTATGTGCAAAATTCATAACTTGGATGCAGAACTCAAAGTGCCAGCAATATGCCTAGATTAACACTGTGTTAAATAAATTTAGATTTCGTTTGTTAATTTAAATGTACTTAATTATAAATTTATATTTGATTCTCCTGGGAATTACAGGGGGTTTTGCAAACTGAGAAGCCTAGTTTATGTGTACAGCTTTTAAAATTTTGAATTAAACAATTCACATATGGGCATAAAACCAATTTCAGAGCAGGCAACTGCATTTCTGACTCCCAATTCTTTTGCTGCAATCATTCTCTCCTTCTTTATCAGATCTTTTATAATGTCTGAACACAGGCATTGACAGTGTGGAATGGGATTATTGTCAAACATAATTAAAACCACATGGTTTTCCCAGCTGCATAGCAGGTAAAATTTCACTGAGCCATGTTACAATTGATCTACACTGCTCTTTACTTTTATCTATCTGTCTGCTTCCTATCTGTCTTCTTATCTGTTTCAGGCAGTTGAAACTCTTAAGAAGTGAAATTTCTGATAGGACTCTGACCAATAAATGTTCACAATGCCCTAAAATAACAACCTCCAACAATACTCCTTTCTTCCTCTGGCCTGCAAAAGCCATTGAGTTCACTACCTCACCTTAGCGCTAACTCCCAGCCAGATTTGCTTAGTCTCTTTCATTGTTAAGGTACTTTGTGGCCCTCTAGAGTTGCTGAGAGATAAATTTAGTGGTAATTAGTTGCAGAGATGGATCAAGCAGTCAGTTGGTAGGTGCTCACATTGAAATGCAAATCTTCCTTTCTTGCCAGATCGTTGGCTGTGACCGCCAGCTGGGAAGCACTGTCAAGGAAGATAACTGTGGGGTCTGCAATGGAGATGGGTCCACCTGCCGGCTGGTTCGAGGCCAGTTTAAGTCCCAGCTCGCAGCAAATAAACGTAAGCTGTTCCTTCTGGTAAAGTGCCATCTTCCCTCTTAGAGATGTACTCATTTCTTGAAAGCTAGATTTCACCCCACTCTTTCTCAGGCATCTGAATGATCATGGTCAGTCTGGTTGTCCCCCCAGGTTCTCACCTCTTGGATTAAAGCAGGCTTGCTCGGACTACTAGTCTGGTTGTTGCAGAGGACAGAGGATTGTGGGAAGGTGTCACCAGTATATTCCCCATCTCAGCTAGCTAGCTGCTTGGGAAGAACAGGAGAACCGGAAGAGCTGCCTCTTTTGACGCCTCTCTGGCTGTGATAGCTGGCTAGGCATAGGATTTAGTCCACACTGCTCTGAGCAGAGTGGTTTATGCTGCTCCACCGCTGAGAGGAACCCTGAGGGCTAGGTGGTGCCAGCCTGGCACAGTGCTCTTTCCAAGAGCACAGCCTGTGTGCCTGCATGTTGAGCATGGTGACAGTTCTGTGGTGGACTGAGGAACCTAAGTTGTCAGAAAGTGCCTACATGGAAAGTGCCTACATGGACATGGGAGAGGCCTACAGACAAACATAGCCTTCCTTGCACGCTGAGCCAGCTTGAACCCAGAGTGGTAAAGTAGCATTAGTGTGCCCCAGTGACAGAGTTAGTTTATCCTAGATCCCAGACATGCTTTTCAACCTTGTTACAGCACCACAGATGGAGCTGTAGAAGTTTTAGGATGAGAGACAGGGCATATCTGGTCAGTTTGCAGGAAGGATTGAAAGGTAAATGTATTGTCCAGCCTGTGTAAACACACATGTGCTAGCATGCAAAGCTGCCCCCAGCCTCAGAGTTCAGTCAGACCAACTCTACCATTCTGGAGTACTTTTCCCAGTGCTGAATAGCACATGACCTCAAAGATTCAAATAGCAGTGTAATATCTGCTGAAGACTGTTTGTATATTCCTATATAGAACATTCAGCTTCTGGGAGGAGCAGTGAGAGGTACTTTTTACAAAAGCTTCTCTCTGTGAAAGAATAAGTGCTTCAGTATGGAGCACAGCATGCAGAGCAGCAGTTAGCACAGTGCACCTCTGGCTCTGTGTTTGCTAACTGAGAGGGAGAGAGTAGGAGAAAAAAAAAGGGAAGGTAGGAAGGAAGGAAGGAAGGATTCAGTATAATCCTTGTGAGAGTTCTATTGCTGAAACAGAATTGCACAGTAGAGGGCAAAGGAAATAATTCAGAAAAATTTAGAAATGGAATTTCACCTCATTGTTACCTGCTTCTACAGGAACAGATTTGGAAATCTCCATCCTACTTGAGACATTATGAAGTTTGTGAGCTTTTTTGGTAAATGTCTCTTCCTATAGGAGAAATTCATTGTTTTTTGGTTGCTTTAGGTAAAAAAGGTGCTCATTAATCCTCTTCTGAGGATAAAGGCACTAATATATTATGCGCAGTACTAAAATGTTGAAAAAATGGAGTCCCTAGTCCCAGTGGTTTGCTATTAAAGAGACAGAATATTATAAAGGTAGTAGAGCAATGACAGAGAACATAGTCTTAGAGAGAGACAAATGTGAAAAAAATATTAGAGAATGGATTTTTCAGACACATTGCCTCAAATAATTGTTATTCTGAGCCAAAGTATATAATCATAGATTTTGTATGTGCTCTGCATAAACCATGTGGCATTATTCCATTCTCTGCTCTAAACATACATGTTGTTATGCAATACTATGAATTTTGAATGTATCAAAAGAAAGTCTTTTTTAAATCGGAGTTTTACAGTTCTGAAGACACAGTTTAGGATCACCTTTGAACGTGTGAATTAATATGAATTCTTTTTGAGGTTTGCTTCCAAATGTTTTATGGAAATGTTGTGAAAATCTGAGATTTTAAACGTTAAAAAACACTTTAAAATCTACTGTATTAATTTTCTACATTTATCCTCCCTGGTGCCATTAGGACTTTGTGTCAGCATCTTGCTCATTTGTCACTATAAACACTTGCTACAGGAACAGCTCCCTCACTATTTATAGGGCTAGTATACATCTCTCAGTGGCCTCAGAAACAGAAACATAGCAGGGCAGGAGGTAACGGCACCTTGGATTCTTACCTACATTTTTATGACAAAGAAAGCACCTGTGTCTATACATTTTTAAAAATAATAATAAAAAAGCTACAAAAACCTTAATTGCAGAAATATTCTTTTCTCTTAGCAAGACTGAACCCCCCAGCCTTAGTACTAAGTCTTCATCTTCTTTTTCTTTTTTTTTTGATAATATCTTCTTTAGGAAAGGGTGTATGTCCTTCCTATGGAGATGAGCTATATTTAAGCAGGCTTCTTTGTATTCCTTAAGAAGCTAGAGAGCTGATCCCATAAATTGTGAGTGAAATTTGCCGGTAACCTTATGCAATATTCTATTTAGAGTATTTCTCTAAAGAAGGATTGACATCTACTAGTGTAAATTGTTACACTGAGGTAGTCTGAATACTTACCTAATTACTCTTGCCATGGTTGCCAAAAATAGATTTGGTTCCAGATTTCCATTAAATATCAATAGTAATGAGGAAATAGAAAGAACTCCATTTTTCATCATGAGAACTGACAGACCATTTGGATAAAATCCAAATTAAAAATCCAAAACTAGAAGAAACTGATCTCTCATGGGAATTTGATGTATGCACATGACATTTAACTTTTGCCTAAATCCTTGCATGTTCTTCACAGCCCCAAGCCACTGTTCTTCCAGTTATCTGGGACTCTCCCTTGCTTCCCTATACATGGTCTCTGGAGAAAACCAACCAGCTGTTAATGCACTTTGTGTTTTTTCCTGGTTTTGCTCCACAATCTGCCTCTTTGCTTATTGTTACAGGGAGTTGTGACTAAATATTACCATGCTTACTTTCACAGGTCTCCTCACATGAAATGTCTCCTTATCATTGGTCACTGCAGGAAATTATCCTTCAGTTCCCATTGTTTCTGCTTTGTGAAAGCAGGAAGCACTGTGATAAGCATAAATCCCAATGAGCTTTGCATTTCACATAAAGCATGCTAGGATTTCAAATGGAGACCAACTGCAAGATCAGGTGAAATCATAGTCCTAGCAGTATCCCGGGGCAGAAGAGGCATGCTGAAAATATAAGCTCACATGATCTTTAAACTGTCCAGTTTTTCTGTGATGTATCAGTGAGTTGTTAACTCCACACTGCAGAGCTTGTAACTGAGAGACATCCAAATATCATAATGGCATGGGACTGTACTTGTAAAAAGGCCATTAATTTTTTCTTTTTTTTTTTTTTTTGAAAATAGACTCATTCCAATGTTTTATATATATATATACAGCAAAATGATGTGTCATACTGTAGTAATAATTTTGATTTCAGAAGAATTTTTAACAGGAAAGCTAGAAACTTGTTTTCACTTAGGAAGTCTTGCAAAGTGCCTTCCCAAGAGGGTTGCATGTTCGGGTTTTTTCCCTTCTGTAGTCCAGACAGGGTTGCAGAGAGAGCTGTGTTATCTCTCTATGCTATGCTGGAGAGATACTAAAGGTCCTGGACAAGGCAGGAACTTGCCTTTTTCTCCCTGGGGCCTGGTGCTTCTATAGCACTGTGAAGTATTTGTAAGTTTTTCATGTTCTGGCCCTCTAAATAAACTTTTGAACTCTTTCCACTGTCTTGGCATTTCTGGGTATACCTGCATATCTTTCTTTACAGTACTCACGTGTTTTGTTCCCCAAAATGGATAAAATGTGTTTATTCTACTGGTTATCTTGAATATGAGTGCCAGAATGGTACCAATAAAATCAGTACTAGAATATCAATATTTAGTGAATTTTTTAGAACTTGAATATTTGTCTCTTCAAATAGAAAATTTGAATTCTGTATAGAGATTGAAGATTTCTACCTTTGCTAATATATCATATACATGTATGAGCATAATGTGCGTTGAGTAGAGTTTAGTCCCAGTGTTACAAAAGACTTAGGAGACACTGAAATTCCTGGATCATTTGAGGAAACATATCAAATCAGATCTTGAAAAATGGAACATGGTTCCATGAGATCTTGAATATGGAACATGGCCTGAAAACCTGAACAGGCTTTGCATCCATATGACTCTTTTGGCACTCAGAGTGACTGATTACATTTGCCCCCTCACTTTGGGATATTAAGAGGCCCCAACAGTATGAATATTTCAACCCACTAGGCTCTCTAATATAAGACTGTCAGGAATTCCTATGATGCATTACACGATTTAAAATTTGAGAGGGTTCTAATTCAGTTTTGAGATAAAATGGATTTGGATGAATTAATGTATTTTTCAAAAGTTCCTGTTTCATGTAGTGTTTCCTCTCTCTGTTGATTCTCTTAATTTTTTTATGTAAAATGACAACATTAATAACTGTTTTGGTGGTAAGTAAGAATCCTGATTTAGTCAGGTTCCAACAGTTTTCCCCTTTTGGTGTGGTCAGAAAGGTAAGGCCCCAGCTCATATGTTTGAATGAAAGATGAAATACCTTTAATTGTCTGAGTTAGCCTTACCTGACAAAGCAACACATTGCTTTGATGGTAGAGCTTAGCTCCTGCTAGTAGGCACTTTGTGGCACAGCTGTGAGTAGTTCTAGTGGATACATAGTGAAAGAATCTTGGTTTCACTCATGTCTACTACCTTCTCACCCCTCCCCCCCCAATAAAATCCTGTTAGGCATACATACTTTTTCTTTCCCAGCTGCTAGTTATATGGGAAGGAGGCAGAAAGGACAGGGAAAGGTAAATGAAGCATGCTGGTTAGTTCAGGTCAGCATTCTCTGGGCGCCCCACTTCATGACCCAGGTATAACATATCATCTTTACACACATTTCCTTCCTGTCTCCATTGAGGACATTACTGAGGTTGCTAACTCTTTAGAAATGCTGACCTAACTTTTACAGGTACATGTGACCCCCATGCTAATTCACACCTTGGTTTAAACCCCATAGGCAAAGCTCCGAAGGGCTTCATAGGTGCAAGATTCTGCCACAACTATCAATTTGAAATACTTGAAAAAGGTTTAAGTGGAGTCATGATGAAATCAAAAGTTACTAATCCAGAAATAATTTTGAAGTAGTTGAAAATAAATAAAATCAACAGGTTTGGGTTCTTAACAGTAGGTTGTTACCACATTTAACAAGTTCTTTTTTTTTTTTCAGATTTTCAATAGTAATTCTTAGAGTTGTTTAATTGGTCCTAAGGCTTTTCTTTTCGCTTCCTTGTAAGAACCTATTTCACTGCTTCACTGAAAACAGATGGGAGTTTCTTTGCTTATTTACTCCATGTATTTTTGCCTTTCTGCAGTAGATGATACAGTGGTTGCTATTCCCTATGGAAGCAGGCAAGTTCGCCTTGTGCTGAAAGGACCCGATCATTTATGTAAGTAGAATAAGATAGTGTACATTTGTTTAAGAGAGCCTTGGTAACGTGCAGTGCTCTGTTTACACTGTGATGTCTGGTCTCCCTCTCTCAGATTACTGATTTAAACACACAGATGAGTCCTACCCTCAGAAGTGCTTCTCAGACCCAGTTACATCAGGGGTACATTCTTTTCAGAACAGACTTTGGCCAACATTGCAGAATTCTTTGCCCCTCCATAATTTTTCTGTTGGCTTATCCATTGGCTGGCTCACTTGGTGTCAAGTGTTTTGTTTAAAATTAATAAAATATATACCACTGACTGAAGAAATCCTGAGGACAGTAAAGTATAAGCTTCCCCACAGCTGAGCTTAGCCATCAAGCTACTTATGACTTTAACATGTTTCTGTTATGATAGGCTCTCTCAGTCCCCTTGATACATACCTGTGCACATGCACACGCACACAAAATCACAGTCTGAAGATCTGAAACAGCATACACAAGTCAAACCATGCTCCTTAGCAGTGGTATCGCTCCAAGTAGTTAAGACCACTGGAGCACTGCTAGCCCATCATTTGGTATCTATAAGACTTCCCTGCTTCATCTCTGTATCCTAGCAGCTCTATATCCCTCTTCTCTGGGAGGAGTCTTGGGATCTGAGAACACTCCGCAAGACCTGAAGGCAAATCCATTTATTTCATGAATAGAAGCTCCTTGTGTCCCTCTCTCTTCCCTTCCGATGCAGTGGGTGCTCAGAAGCTGCTCCTTTTTTCAGCAGCAAATGTATACTAAAATATTAGTAAATGAAATTCACTGTCAGAAAACAAACTGTACTGCATGACCTCTCAGTAGCCCAAATTATTGCAAGGTAAGTTGGGCTACCCTTCTCCTTTTCCAAAAGTCATTAGGATTTTCCTGCAGCATGGACCAGTCAGTGTAAATACAAACATCAGTGTCAGCAGAGTGTGAAACACCAAATCATTCCACTCTCTTTGGATTTCTTTTGCCCAAAGACTTTATACTGAGTGGCAAAATAAGAGGTGGTTTATCAGTCCTGTTCTGTAGCTCCTTACTTGTGTTGAGAAAGCAGTGGGTATGCTTTAATGGTTCTTCCAATTTAGAGCTGTGAATAAAGACCAGCAAATTATAGGTTATAAATGAAGAAAAAATGTAATTTGTTTTTCTTAAAAGTTCAAATGCTGCCTGTGCTTCAGTTTTAAGTGGACCTTCAAGTATTTCTGAGCTGCTCTAGTAATGGCTGTTACTACTTTCCCAGTACATGATTTGCACTCTTCCTTTCTCTCATATCTTCTTTTCCAATATAGATGTTCTCTTCTAAGGTTGAAAAAAATCATATTTTTATTTTTGTTTTAGTGAAATTAAGCTATAAGACAGCTTAGAGAGAAATGAGATTTTAGCTGGAGAGATTGATCTAAAGCTGTCTTCGCTCAGACCATCTTGCATTTCAAGACAAAAAATTTGAATCAGAGAAGTCTGCCTGAGTCACTGGTTAAGATTTAGATTAACTGCACTGTGTAAACATGAATAAGTCCAAACATATCTTTTTCTTATTTCAGATGTCTCCATGAATCTTTCTCTTTTCTCATCAAAGGGCTTTATATATGTATGAGCTACAATCAGTTGCAGGGAGGGGAGTGTCTTGCCCTGTGAACTTTGGTTGTGGGAGAAGTCAACAAGCAGCTTATTATGTATACATGAGTCTTCAAACCATCTTTATTCCTGCATGCAACCTTGTCCAGAAATAAATAGATGGCCAAGTGTATTGCAAAGGAAGATATTAATCTCAGTGAAAACCAAGGAATTCACAAATACAGTGCAAATTTTTAGTATACTTAGTATACTTAGTATACTTAGTATACAGCAACTTCCTTCATTAATTAATTCCCTTCACCCACCACGAAAAGTGGTCTAATTAGTGCAATTATCTTTATTCCCTAATTAGAAACTTAATATACACAAATTAAAACATTTCTCTCATTTATTGTCTTTGAAAGTATATCTCCATCACAGATGAATAGTATGCCAACATCTAACTCAGATTTTGCTTTAGCTGCCCCTCTCTCAGAGAAGATTTTGTGCATAATTTCATAAATACACGTGAAAGGTTTGAAGCTTTGCAATCCTTCACAATGAAATACACTTTCACTTTTAAATAACTGCTAGAAACAACTTCACTGGTGAACATGTTATAAAGCATAATCTGGAGTTGATAGAGAGGCTAACTAGGTGATGAGACAGATCTGTTTGCTGACTCTTGATTTCTATTTAATAAATTACTAGTATTTTTATTATGACAATCAGAAGTAACTGCTACCAAACAGTATCTGAATTAATACCTGCCTTTTGGGAGCTCTGAACTCAGAGAAACAGAGGGAGAGCTCAGGAGGGTTCAGGACTCGCCCTCCCTTTCTGCTCCACTGGAATGGATCAGGCTACTTCTGGAGAGGAGACAGGATTGCTGTCATACTGATCTTTCTTTCCTGGGCATTCTGCTTGAAGTTAATTATCTAATGCAACAACATGTGGTTATTGACCTGCCTTTGAACTGCAATAGGGTACAGCAACTTAACAGCACTTATGGGCCAAGGTCTGAGTCATGCTCCGCATAGGAGCATGACTTACTGAGAGTGAGCTGAACGACAGCAAATATGCCTAACTAGGAATGGATTAATATGTCTGGAAGAGAGTAAAAGCATGAGCTATGGGTGAGGAGGGGAATGCAAGCTAAAAATCTAAGGGTTGAACAAAGACCAAAAGCAGATTGAAGAGAAAAAGAAAAGTATGGGAATATGAATTAACTATGGAAAAAAAAAAAAAAGTAGTTTCATTATTCCTAATTTAGGAGGCAAATCTGAACCACCACTCTTTTGTGTTTGTTTTGTTTTTCTGCTCTCATTTACTCCTGCTTCAAATTGCAATGCTCTAGTTTCCCTTCAATTTGTTTCTGTTTGTCAGATTTGGAAACCAAGACTCTCCAAGGTTTGAAGAGTGAAAACAGCCTCAGCACCACGGGCTCCTTCCTTGTAGAAAATTCTAGCATTGACTTCCAGAAGTTTCCTGACAAGGAGATCTTAAGAATATCTGGGCCTCTCACTGCAGACTTCACTATCAAGGTGAGGGTTATTGGTCATTAACGTCTTAGAGCAACATGAAGTAAGATAAGATGAATTAGGAAGATGAAAAATTTTTTCTGTATCTTAATTTTCCAGTAGATGTTTATCACAAAGCCTTGTCCAGGCTAGCTACTGAACTCTATATGAAATTCTTTATAGTTATATATCTGATGAAAGCCTCACTGGAGATTCCTCAGGAGAGAGACTGAATTTATGTCAAGAAAGGCATGCCCAACGTGTGCCCTAAAAAGCAAAGATGAACTCATTACAGGGAAAGACAGATTCCTTTCGGTATGCACTACTGAGGTACATATAAATCAAGGACAAGCAGCTTGCTTTGTCTGTGATAAGCAAAAAGAATATTTGTGTGTATCTTTGGCCCATAGTTTGTAGGGTTTATACTAGTGTAATTGCACAGAAGACTGTAAGAGAGTGAAGAGTGAGATCCCCAAGCTCCAAAATAAATGGAATGACTTTGCTTGAGAAGTCATGGCGTCATTTTAAAGTTCTGCTTTTTGTTGCACTGGCAATAAGAATAAAATTGTTTCCTCCCATTAGAGCATTTCTATTCTTCCAGGTAATATAAAACACATTGCTAGAAGCAATGTGCACGTTCTGTGGGAAAACACACATACGAAAATGAACATTAGGGAGTTACAATAAAATAAATCCTTTTCCAGTAGGTCCAAGGAACTTGAAGGATTGCAGCTGTAAAACTGTAAAACCTGTATCATGTCCAGGACTACATAAATTTTTCACCGTGGGCTCCAGAGGTAGATGACATTTGCTTTAACCTTGAGCTGATGGCAGCTAGAGGTTTGAACAATGAACTGGAAAATGTCTTAAGTAATTGTGCTGGGTTAAGCTGGGCCAGGCTGGAATGGGTTAGCTTGGGAAATAGCACAACCCTGTAGACTGTCCCATGCTCATTGTGGAATATCAGCAGCATAAAAAGCAAGTTGAAATTTTCAGAACTGGTTCACAAGGAGAAACCTGACCTACGGAATATATTCCTTACTCTTTGAAGATCAGAATGACAATGCCTTACTAAAATAGATACCAATCAGTTTAAAATATCTGAAACACCTTTACCTGTTTTACAGATGATACAGAGATGGTGAACAGCAGTGCAGTGTAAACAGCATTTCTCACTTTGCATTATTTCTGTTGTCTATGAATTTCTGGCAGCCTGGCTAGTTAGAACATACCTTTTGGAAAAAGCTGGTCATGTAGACCAATGGCCCTGAAATGGCAACAGGCGGTGTTGTAGTTTTAGTCAGATGGGAAGGACTTTTCAGTTACGAATATTTGCATACCACTACGTAATTTCGGATCGCCCCATCCGAGCTGGATCAGGGGCAGACTGTCCCCAGGGGTCTCGAGACCTGCCAGAAAAGTGGATCCCTTTCCATCACGGGAACTTGGGAGACAGGAAATAAAAGGTGGGCACGGGCCAGAACTGCTCTCTCTATACCTGGGTTTTGCCCACTGGAGGACTGCAGATGCTCAGAGTCTTTACTGGAGCCATTCCTTCTCTGTCCAACTGAGCTCAGACTCAGTGGAACCATCATAGCACTGTTTTTTTGGAGCACTTTTGGAGCTATTTCACAGTACCCTGGGAGCTGCCACCGCCAGCCTGGGAATTCCCTTCTCCAGAGTCACTACCATCTCAGCTGCAGCTGTTTCTCCCTCTCACCCACACAAAGCACCACTACACCATGGCCCAGGCACACTCAGCTCCCACCGGGCTCCAGGACCATGCCAGGTCAACCCCAGCCCTGCCACCAACACACTCATGTGGTTGCTACAATGGAACCCACACCAAGCACCTCAGCAGCATAAAATTTTTTCAGATGAAAAATCCTTCCAAGCTTTGTTTTACCCTAGGGGGGAGAGGGGTAGTGAGGTAATATTTTTCTGCTATTATTGGAGTTTTAAGTTTCTTTCCCTTTTTAGTAAAATTCTGATTTTTCCTTCTTCATTCAGACTTCTTGTAATTTTTTACCTTCTCTATGTTTGGGGGAGGGAAATAATAAAAGAAGGACGGTTCATCTCATTAGAGGTCTCATCTCCCAAATACATTGTCATTAAACAAAGACAGGAGGGTTGTACTGGTTTCCTCATATTTCAACTATTACCTTTTATAATAGGGAAAATACCTTTATCCCTTAGTGCTTGCATTTCCTTTTCTATCAAAGCAAGGTGAGAAGTGTTGGTCAAATCAAAGGAGTACCCTACTTACCTGATGACTGTCTGGACCAGTATGAGTGAACAAGCTGGCTAGTCGTGGGCACAACAGCCACTCCTGAATCGAGATGAAACAGTGTTATTGCTATCTCTTTGCTCCTTTGAAACTCAGAGGAACATGACTCAGTAGGTGTTAATTTATTAGCATATTTGTTGTCTTTAGTGGATATAGAAAAATGCACCAAAAAAAAAACCAAAACAAAGCAAAACAACCCCAAACAAATGGTTTGCAATTGTAGGATCTTTTCTGAAGCTACCATTAAGTTTTGCCTTGGATTAGGCACTTAAAAATTATTTTCATTTGAATCACAGTTTTTTAATCAACAGCTAGACTTTAAATATTACTTCATGAAAAAAGGATATTATTCTATATTATTAAATTATTTTTGTAAAAGTTTTTTCCTGCTGGATATTTATTTTTTTTCTATTTTTTTCAGTTATAAACGTACATACAAGTAAGGCTAATACAAGAGTACCAGAATGCACGCATACCTCTCAGTTATGTCAGGCTTGGCAACTGTTTTTCATACCTTGTTTATTCATGACTGTTGTGCCTTCAGCGTGTGAAGTTAAAGTACTTGTCTTTAAAAAAAAAAATCAGATGAAAGATTTCTCTGTGGTATTATCAAGTTTTCCTTACGAAGTGGGATCTCTTTGGATGTCAAGATTTACTTTCCTGGGCCAAGGCAGATTTTTATGCAAACAGATTGAAGTGAATTTGTAGATGTAGCAGAACTCGAGTTTTAAGGTCATTGTCTCCAGAATTACTGTTATAATCCTTTTCATTTGAGCCTGAATGCTCTTATTGAGGGAGGTCAGATTGGATATCTGAATATAATTCAGAAGTAGAAACTCAGTGGAGGAGTTCACATTTAAGTTTCTTTATTGGTGACATGGAGTGGTTTAAAATTGCAAGAAGAAACCTCATGCTGGTCTTGGAGTAGCTAAATTGTATAGGTATTGGATTTCTTTACTTTGTAATAGTCAGTGATACATTCCTCATCTGCTAAACTATTGGCAATCTTTTCACAAGACATGTAAATGGTTGTCCTGGGTTGCACAAAAATTGGGTTGCCATTTTGGCTTTTTGGTGTTTTACCTTCTTTAAAGAGATTGAACTGCTAGTGTTTAATGACATTAACCCACCTCCAGTGACCTCTCCAGGGCTGTAAGAGATTGGACTAGGGTGCTCATGGCTCCATCAGCTGTGTGCTTTGCTGGTGTGTGCTTTGCTAACAGTGTGCACAGTGGCCACCCAGGCCAGGTGCCGAAGGCCTGCATAGAATCATAGAATCAGCTAGGTTGGAGAAGACCTCTGAGATCATCTGGTCCAACCCTTGATCCAATAGTGTCATGGTTACGAGACCATGGCACTAAGTTCCACATCCAGTCTCATCTTAAAAACCTGCAGGGACAGTGAATCCACCACCTCCCTGGGCAGCCCATTCCAATGTCTGATCACTCTCTCAGTAAAAAATTGCTTCCTAATATCCAACCTAAACCTCCTCTGGCACGACTTCAAGCCTGTGCCCTCTTGTCCTAGTGCTGGCTGTCTGGGAGAAGAGACCAACCCCCACCTGGCTACAGCCTCCTCTCAGGGAGTTGTAGAGAGTGATGAGGTCTCCCCTGAGCCTCCTCTTCTCCAGACTAAACAACCCCAGCTCCCTCAGCCTCTCCTTATAGGACTTGTGCTCAAGTCCCTTTTACCCATGCTAGACAGATGAAGCCCGTCTGACTCTAGCAGGCTACGTACCATAGAATTTGCCTCATGGTCAAAAAAATCAAAATCCCACCTGTGGCACCAATCCTTTAACCAGCTATTGATAAGGTGGGTTTTCCTACTCTTCATTCATCCCTGCAGGATGAGGTGAACTGCAGGAACTGAGGTGAACACCACTTGTGCTCCTGTCCCATTAACTAATGACCCAGTGCCTTCAAGTTCTTTTTATTTAGGCTGGTACCCCTTTCACTGATGCCATCACTGCCAGCCTGCAATCTGACACCACAGGCTACAAGGTGGGTGTTAAACAAGATAAGGAAGTGGCAAATCCTGCAAGGTGGGGCAGTGTTTCTTTTTCCGTACACAAATGACTCAGCTGTGATAACTCCCAGGAACATTCAAGCCCAGCCTGAAGGTATTCATCTCTTGTTGATGAGCCATAATGGGCCACAGTGGACTCGGCCATACTGACCTGAGAGACAGCTGCATCATCTTAGCAGGTGTCAAAGACTCCTGAAGCATCGCATGCATTTGAATTGACATCTTTTTGTAGTGCTAGGGCTGATGAGCCTTGGCTAAGGACTGCTGCTAGAAGAGACTATCTGGCTCTTTTTTTGTTGTGGTGGCTGGAGGTACTGCTTGCTGATTTAGAAATGGTACGGACTGGGTTCACTTGAGCAGAGCTGCTGCTGAGATTAGGATTTTGGCCACCAGTTGTCCAAAAAGTCGTGAAATACATCTCAAAACTGGATGCTGAATCATACAGAGCACTAGAGCTAGCCATACAACTCGTAGCTGAGCTGCAATCTAGCACTAGCAGAAACTGGTGGTGAGAGAAATTAATTTGATTAGAGTCCAGGTTAACAGAGGAAAATAAGGTTGAGCTTAGTCAAGACTTCAGGGGTTTGGAAGGGCATGCAGAAAATAATGTGTGTACAGGCAGCCAGCTGGCAGAGAGGTTGATGGGCCTTGTCGGGCTATGGCCAGGATTGGATATTGCTTTGAACAAGGAGCACATAGTGATTTATTTGGT